TATACGGTGCTCCATATATATCCAGCTCCATGACAGGTCTCAAAGTTAGAAAGATCATTTCTCGATGTTAGTCATGAATCTCATGTTCCCAGGGCAGCTCAGTGTTGGCTTCTGCTGCCTCTTGCAACAGGACTTCCTTCCCAATGTATTCAGTGTCTTTATAAAGTTGAATAGTTCACTTCTCTCCTCAACTGCCTCAGTGTTCCTGGAGCAGTACTAAGGGAAATAGGGTGAGGAGGTGTGGGATTGGAGGGTGTGAAATTGAGTAATTTGCCCCTCACTGATCCCAGTGCAGTATTGAAGGAAACCTTACTATGTGGAGGTCATGATTCATAGAAGTCTGGTCAGAGCCAAGAGGGAGATCAGTGTATAAGGATTTACAATTAAAGGTCCTTACCAACTTTAATCAAAACAAATAAAGCAGGAAACTCACAGTAGCCATTTCAGCCGAATAGAATTGTATAATCATGGAAGGGCTGCTGCCCAGCAGCCTCTGTGCTGGCTCATGATATAGCAAGTCACCCAAACCCACTCCCCTGTCTTCTCCCAGAGAATGTTTTGTGCTTCAAATGTTGTGAAAGGATTTCAAACCAGTAAGATTCTGTTTGCAAAAACACATTATTATGTCCACAATGAGATCTTTCTCCAAGATTGTGTTGTTCACCCATTTAATATTTTCATCAGTTCCAGCACAACCTGAACCCACTCTCTGTTACCCAGAATCCACCGACACTAACGTGGAACAGGACCTGAGTGAATTTCATACACAGACTGAAATGGGGCCTATTGAGGAATGAGAACTAGATGCTGGAGCATCACCTCATACCCCAGTGGAATGGAATGAAACAACAAGTGAGTCGGAACAAAGTTTACTCCAAACAAAAACTTCAATTCCTCAAAACAATGTTTTTGATATTAATACAACAGAACATTCTCCAGTTAACCGTGTCACAGAACTATTAACCCAACTGGGCTTAGAAAGCAAAACATTGTCCCTGAGTGATGTCCTCAACATAAACACAGAAGCACTTCAAAATTAATCACCAGAAGGCCCTCAGGACATTCCAGGATATTTTCTCTGGAATTTAATGATGGTCAACTCAGAGGAAAGGAACTTGAAATTCAAATCAACTAAGACACAAAGGCAGTCAGAATTGAGAAACTTGGACTTTTTCTCTCTGAATGGAAGCTGTGAACATTTATACCACCCCCTGGATATCATTGTGTCTATCTTCCTGTGTGTTGATCCATTCCTTCAGCAGGAGCTGATGGTAAAAATGTATTTGTGCTAGTTTGCATGCCACTATTACTGCCTGCTCGTAACAAGGGCTGCACCTTCTGCTGTGGGCCCTGCGCTCCATTGTGATGAAGTGGCACCCACTCTCACTCCGAGATAGTGCAGGCTTTAAGGAAACATACATGGTGACTACCAACATTCCAATCATTTCCTTTGTTAGACTCCGTTCTTGTTCCATTTCCAAATCTATGATCCTAAATAAAGTCTTCAGCTGCTCCCAACAACATCACAACTTCTTCATTCATTCTGACATGGAATGTGGCAATCCACCTCGCAGGGTTTCTAACGGTCTTGTTGAGTTGTGCTGGTACCTGCCCAGTGGTAGTGAGGATTTGGATCTTTTCCTGGAGCCAATGACTATATTAAACCTTTGAGGTGACGCTAATTTTTCCACACACAGGTTCAGTTTCTGGCAAACATCTCTTCAGCTATTTTTCTTTGGATTGATAATGTTGACAGTGAGAGAAGCAAGATCCTGAAGTCCCTCACTCAGTCCCCAGCGAGTACATATATGGTGCTCTCTGGGAACAGTGTGAGCAGTGAGACTAAAGAACACTTAAAGGAGTTTATTGATTCCTTGGTGTTGAAGGAGAATCAAATATTAGCACGAGTAATGAGAAACAATGCAGAATTTACTGAGGCACTGCAATCTACCTTGGGAGAACTCCTGGGAAGAACGCACCAGGAGAAGACTCGCCAGGGCCTCAGGAGTTTGGAGAAACTGTCAGAAATTGCAAGGGACAAGGGAATTGTAATAGATGAGGATGACAAACTGTGTTCACTCAGCAAAGCAAGACACGAAAACATTTTCAATTGTATTGAAGGAAAAGCCGTTAGCAAATTCAAATTGGAAAGCATGTCTTTTCAGGGTTTCACTTGGCAGCAGGTTTCCAAAATAGAAAAAGAACAATGTCGTCCAAAAAATTGAGAGGAGAGGTCAATACAAAAATGCTGTAATGACCTCGAAGAGGAGAACAGAAAACTTCAAAAACAGCAGCGAGCAAAAGGTATATTGGCTGATATGAAAAGATTCATTGCAGACCTGACAGACAGAGATGAGAGGAAATATTTCCTGCAGTGGATGAAATTTGGGTTGGATACCAAATCGAGAGACACTCTCTCTCTGATTTACGTGAAGAGTACAAAGCTCTGTCACAACAGAAAGACTCTACAACCAACAAACGGTCACAGGAACTCGATCAACAGATAATTGCCAGTTCCCTTGGACTCGAACACTTCATGCGAGAAATCGGACTGATCTATGAAACACTGATAAACCAGGAATATCATGATAAAGAAGAGAGTCACATTGTGCAAATGCTACCCGACACTGTCGCTAACCTATTATTGGATGGGTTCCCTCTGTAGCTCATCGATGGAGATGTTTCCAACATCCCTTTCCAGTGGATTCCTGATGTGCTGAAGGCAGTTGAAGACAGGATTGGCAGGGAGACCTGTGTGTTTGTGCTCACAGTGCTGGGTGTGCAGAGCACAGGCAAGTCCACACTACTCAACACCATGTTTGGTTTGCAGTTTGCTGTGAGCAGTGGGCGGTGTACCCATGGGGCCTTCATGCAGCTCATTAAGATCACAGGAGATCTGCAGATGGAGCTGGGCTGTGGGTATATCATGCTGATCAGCACTGAGGGGCTGAAAGCACCAGAATTATCGAACATTGATGACAGCTCTGAACATGACAATGAGCTTGCCACCCTACTGATTGGGTTAAGCTATGTAACATTGGTAAATATGGCCATGGAAAACTCCACCGAGATGAAGGATGTGCTGCAGATAGCGGTCCATGCATTTATACACATGGGAGAGGTGGGGAAAAAGCCTGTTTGTTACTTTGTTCACCAGAATGTGAATGATGTGTCTGCTCATGATCAGAATATCAGGGGCCGCAGACATCTACTGGAACATCTGGATGCGATGACACGAGCAGTGGCAATAATGGAAAAACAAGATCGACAATTCAGTACGTTCTCAGATGTGTTAGATTATGATCTGATGGAGAATAACTGGAATGTCCCAGGCCTGTGGCATGGGAATCCACCCATGGCAGCTGTCAATGGCGGCTACAGTCACAAGGTGTTTGAGCTAAAGAAAAGGCTTTTTCAGAACCTGAAAGAGAATACAAAGAAGGGGAAACTGTCAACAATCTTTGAGTTCATCCAATGGACTAAATCCTTGTGGAGTGCAGTGAAATATGAGAATTTCATTTTCACTTTCCAGAACAGTCTGGTAGCTGAAGCTTCCAAGGAACTTTCTGTTGACTGGGATCTGAGGAAAGAGATACATTCCTTCCTGGGAAGAGCACAGAACAGAATTTTTAACACAAATCAGGATCCAAGACAAGAAGCTGAAATGTTGAAAAGTGAATGGATTGTATTTCTTGATGAACAGAAAGAAAAAGCTCTTCAGAAATTGAAGGAATATTATTCCACGGGCAATAACACACATCTTGTTAAAAAATACAGGGAAGATTTAGTCCGGAGCATTGAATCTCTGATCATTGAACGTGGGATGTATGTGGACAGGAAGTGTGATGAGGCAGTGCAGAGGAGGAGAGCTCTGCAGAAGCTGAATGATATTAAGGAAAACTATAAGAGTCAGACTGAAGAATAGGTCAACACACTTCTGCAGCAGTACAATCAAGAAAATAGAGAAATGAATGAAACACAACTGAAGAAAGTGTTTGAGAAAATGTGGCAAAAGACAATTTCAACATTTAAACATTTACCATCACCGAAAGCCAATATTATGAAGGACATGGAACAGAGTCTATGCCAAAGCATGCCCACAGACACCAAACTCCTCAATCAGAAACTTAGCAAGAAAACCCTGTGTGAACTGAAGAATGAAAAATTCCAAATCAATCAGAATCACATTGAGTCAAGAGCATTTTATTACAAGTTTATGCCTAAAATAATTTATGCAATGTTTGATACAAAAGACTTTGAAAGAGCCCAGCAGTTGTGTGATGAGTGGGTGAAGGAGTGTAAGCAGTTTATAAGGAAGACTGCAGGACAAGAACAGGATTATGATTCTAACCATTGCCAAGAACTCCTAAGAGTCAGAGACGAGAAAATCCAGAAACGCCAGGATCAGAAATTCACCTTTACTGAACATTTCAGGGCAGATTTTAAACTTCACATTTGTGGGTTTGCAGTTAAACAATATGAAGAAATGCATGAAAGATTCAGAAAGAAAAACGATCCCCTGAAACGGTTAAACAAGGAGAAATCAGCTTACTCAAGGAACAACTGCACAACTGTGGGAGGACATCTAGTTCCTTCATAGCATTGCTTAATACAGAGAAAGTTGGGCAGTGAAAGCATCATCTGGAAATTGGTTGGTTCAGGGGAGCTTTGACATGTCATCAGATTGAAAACTTGACCAGTAGTGTGGGGCCTTCCATCAGAACCAACCTTTCTGAAAGTTGGGCTGTGAGGCTGGGAAGAAGTGTGAGTGGGCTCCAAGTGTGGTAAGAGCTTCAATAATTCATTGAGCCTCATGAACCACTCATTCCTACAGAGGAGTGGCTGTTCCTGTGTGAGGAGAGTTCCCAGGCTGGTAATGTCTAACACACAAGGCTGTACAATTGTTAACAAAAAGGCAGCTTCATGCAAGAGAAACTATTCACATTTGAGGTTTTGCAAAATCATTGACTCTCATGAATCATCGAACCAATCACACGGGGATGAAGTTATTGAAATGTGAGACATGTAAAAGGGGTTTTGCACAGTCATTGAGTCTGGTTTATCACTGGCCCATTCACCCAGGGGTAAAACCATTCACACAGGGGATAAACAGTTCACATGCATGGTGTGGGAGGAATAAATTCCCAAATTCATCAACCCTGCATAAACACCACTGCCTTCATACTGGGGAGAGACAGTTCATTTGCAAGGTGTGCAATAAGTCATTCTCACAATCATCATACATCATTTTTCACCAATGCACTCACACCAGGGAGAAACCATTCACATGTGTGATGTGTGACAAATCATTCTCATCATTATTGGAACTCCGTACATACCAACATATTCACACGGCCGAAACTGTTCCAACCTGAGGCGTGTGACAAATAATTCTCTCAGTTGGGGAAATTCTGCACACACCATTGCATTCACACAGGGGAAAAACTGTTCAAATGCAAGGATTGTGACAAATGATTCTCTGACTCATCGAGACGGCTGCACCATCAGAGGATTCACACAGGGAGAAACCATTCAGATGTGAAGTGTGTGATAAAGCATTCTCAGTACCATCATGCTTTATTGTACACCAATACAGGACAGAAACCAATCACCTGTGAGGTATGCGACAAATCATTCTTGCATTCATTGCACCTTAATGTGCACTAACATGTTCACACAGGGGAGAAACCATTCATATGCATGATATACGACAAATTATTTTCATCACCAGAGTTCTGTATACACCAACGCGGTCATGAGGGAAAAACATTCATAGAGTCACACAACATGGAAACAGACCCTTCGGTTCAACTAGTCCTTGGAATCAAGATGTGGAACAAATCATTCTTACAGTTAGGGAACCTCCAAGTAGACCAACAAATCCATACAGCAGGGAACATGCTTAAGTGTGAGGTGTGTGACAAGTTATTCCCCACTTCATCAAGACTCATGCTGCATTGGAGGATTCACACAGGAGAGAAACCATTCACGTGCCAGCACTGTAATAAATTATTCTCACCTTCGTGGAACCTCCACATGTACCAATACACTCACACAGGAGAGAAATCATCTTGATGTGAGGTGTGTGACAAATCATTTTCTGAGTCAGGAAACCTCCACATACAATGGATTCAGGAAATTAAATGGCTAAATGTGGAAAACCATTTCCCACTTTTTAAAGACTGCTGTGGATTCACATAGGGGAGAAACAATTCATTTGCAAGTTATGGAACAAATCATTACTGGAGTCATTGAGCCTGTACAAGCCTCAATGCATTTATACAGGGGAGAAACTATTCATGTGCAATTGTGTATCATTCATTATTTCGTCAACTCTTTGAAGGGTTGCCTTCATCTGTGCCTTCACGCAAGGAGGTTAGATTCACATGTGAAGTGTGTAAGAAATCATCCTGGAACCTCCTCCATTGAGGATCCACACGTGGGAGTAATCCTTGAAGTGTGAGGTTTGTCCTGAACCTTTCATGATGTCTTCAGTCATCTGGGAATCCATAGGATCCATATGGGTGAAATTCTTTGGGTGCAAAGTTTGTGACTGTTTTTGTAAAGTCAGCATTGTTGCACAAAGTTATTGGACCTTGTGGAACATAAGTGAACCCACACAGTAAATCCTTCAAATGTAACATGTCCCGGGATTGTTTCACCTCCTTTGCTATCAATCCTTCTTTTTGTGGGCTCTGACTTTGTAAGAACAGCAACAACACTGGTAAAGTTAAACCTGAAGTAGGTTTTATTTCACACATTGTTCAGGAATTATTCACTATGCATGTACACTATTGTGATGATGCTGTGACTATAAGACATGTGTTTTGTCCTGGTTTCTTTCAAAGAGAAATTGGGATAGGTGACAAGCAGTCTATGAGAAGATAAACAACTAATGATGCCTTGGGTGTTTTTTTTTCAAAAGTTTATTTGATTTGTTGTTGTCATATTTACCAAAATACAGTGAAAAAGTTTTATTTTGCAAGGAAACATACGAAGAAATACAGATCATAGGGTGTTTATACAAAGCGAGGTATACAAGGTTAGGACTGCAATGGAGGTGCACAAAAGCAAGATCAACATTAGAGTCGAAATTAGAGAGCAGTCTAATAACAGCAGGGAAGAAGCTGTTCTTGTACCTGATGGTTGCGTGTGTTCAAGCTTCTGTATCTTCTGCAACAGAAGCATCCTGAGTGGGTTTGGTCAAGCTCCCACCCACAAAACCAGGGATTTTAAGCTTCAGTTTTTTCAGCAACAGTTGCTGTTGGGGACTGAAAGAAGTGGAAGCTATTTTTCCCTCTCTCAATTACAGCCAAAAGCTGGGGCTGCTGGAGTACATGTGAGACAAATATGTTTTCTGAATTTGCCTTTTGCCGAGGGTGTGTCTATGGAATGTTGCTGTATTGGAACAGTTAATTAGGAATAATTAATCTATCTATTATTCTGTTAAGTTTTCTAATGGAGTTAAATGATTCCAAATTCATCTTTCTTTTGCTGCACTTCAACTATAGGAAGGGTTTAAAGGGATATGGGCCAATTGCTGGCAAACGGTACGAGATGAACTTAGGATATCTAGACCAGACAAATTGTGTTTTGCTTAACGGTGAGTAGGTTGACCAGTGAATTGCATCTACTACATAGCACCTGACATTTGCTTTAAAATAAGAAAAAGTTAGGGTCTAGGCTACCTTCTTAATATATTTTGAAGGGGTCTGGCCTGGTCCATAACACTATAAACATATAATGAAATGTAGAATTGAAATTTGTGAATGACCCTGATGGAAATAGTACATGAGAAATCAAGCCCCATTGTTCCACTGTCACAAGTGTACGATATGCAGTCATTGAGTCACTGAGCTGGAAACAGACCCGTTGGTCCAACTCATCCATGCCAGCAAAATATCCTAAACTATCCCGTTTGCCAGCATTTGGCCCAGATCCATCTAAACCCTTCCTATTCGTATACCCAACCAGATACCTTTTAAATGTTGTAATTGTACCAGCCTCCACCACTTGCTGTGGCAGCTCATTCCATACATGCACCACGCTCTGTGTGAAAAGGTTGCCCCTTAGGTCCCTTTTAAATCTTTTCCCTCTCATCTTAAACCTATGCCCCCTAGTTTTGGACTCCCTCAGCCTAGGTAAAAGACCTGTCCACGCCCTTCATAGTTTTATAAACCTCCATGAGCCTCAGCCTCTGATGCTCCATGGAAAACAGCCCCAGCCTATTCATCCTCTCCCTATAGCTCAAACCCTCCAATCCCGGCAACATCCTTGTAAATCTTTTCTGAACCTTTCAAGTTTCACAACATTCTTCCTATAGCAGGGAGACCTGAATTAAACACAATGTGCTAAATGTGGCCTAACCAATGTCCTATATAGCTGCAACATGACCTCTCAACTCCTGTGCTCAATGTGTTGACCAATAAAGGCAAGCATACCAAACACCTTCTTTACTATCCTGTCTATCTGGGGCTCCACTTTCAAGGAACTATGAACCTTGCACTCCAAGGTCTCTTTGTTCAGCAACACTCTCCAGGACCTTACCATTAAGTGTATAAGTCCTATCCTGATTTGTCTTTCCAAAATGCAGCACCTCACATTTATCTGAATCCTCAGCTCATTGGCCCATCTGATCAAGGTCCTGTTGTACTCTGAGGTAACGTTCTTTGCCATCCACTACACCTCCAATTTGGTGTCATCTGCAAACTTACGAACCACACCAACTGTGTTCACATCCAAATCATTTATATAAATAACGAAAAACCAGCACCAATCCTTGTGGCACACTGCTGGTCACAGGCCTCCAGTCTGGAAAACAACTCTCCATCACTAATCTCTGTCTTCTACCTTTGAGCCAGTTCTGTATCCATATGGCTAGTTTTCCCTTTATTCCATGTGATCTAACATTGCTAACCAGTCTACCATGAGGAACCTTGTCGAACGCCTTTCTGAAACCCATGTAGATCTCGTCCACCGATCTGCCCACGTCAATTAAAAAGTTTAAAAGTAATAGTTTTATAAGCTTCATATCTATAACACACTCCTACTGTGAAAGCCTTCTCGATAGTGGGGAGAGTCGGAGTGGTTTGTAGGGGAGTTCTCCCAGCTCCTCAGGAGGAGACTTGGTTTAATCATCCACTTGTTTTTTTCCTGAAGACTCTTTACCATTGTGTCTCGCTTTTGTGTGCTGGACCTGACACGGCTTTGAATGGAGTTGTTCGTGTTGCTGTCTTCTCCTGTTGTGGGACTGGTTGCCCACAGTTTTCAACAAAGTGTGGTAGGATGACAGAGCTTTGATCTCTTGGTCTGTTGGGGCTGTTTGGCTCTGTTTATTACCTGCTACTGTTGGTGTTTAGTCTGCATATAATCGTCTGTAGTGCATCAAATACAATGTTACAGCTGCAGAGAAGGTACACAAAGCGCTAGATCAACATTAAATTTAAAACTTGAGAAATTCATTCAGAAATCTGATAACAGCAAGCGAGAAGCTGTTCATGAAACTGTTGGTATGCGTGTTTAAGCTTTTGTATCTTCTGCCTGACAGAAGAGGTTGGAAGAGATTATAACTGGGGTGGGAGGGGTATTTGATTATATTGGTTGCCTTGCTGAGGCAGCGAGAAGTATAGCTGGAGTCAATGGATGGAAGTACGCTTGCATGGTGGACTGGGCTATGTTCACAACACTTTGTAGTTTCTTACGGACCTGGCAGAGCAATTGCCACACCAAGCTTGAGGCATTAGGATAGAATGCTTTCTATGATACATCTATAAAAATTTATTAAGAATCTTTACGGACATGCAGAATTTCATAGAATCCCTACAGTGTGGAAACAGGCCATTCAGCCCAAAATGTTCACACCAAACCTCTAAAGAGCATCCCACTCAGGCCTATCTCTCTACCCTATTCCTGTAACCCTGCATTTCTTATGGATAACACACCTAACCTATACATCCCTGGACACAATGGGCAATTTAGTGTGGCCAATCCACCTAACTTGCACATCTTTGGACTGGAGGAAACCAGAGCACCCAGAGGAAACCCATGCAGACAAGGGGAGAACATGCAAACTCCAGACAGACAGTCACCCGAGGCCGGAATCAAACCCAGGTTCGTGGTGCTGTGAGGCAGCAGTGCTAACCACTGAGCCACTGTGCTGCCACTTTTTGTTTAATTGAAGATTTGAGAACCATCCAGCAAGTCTGTCAGCACATGAAGAGAAATAACATCCTAATTCTCCATAGAATCCATTTCCTTAGCCTCCTGAAGAAGTAGAGATGTTGTTGTGCTTTCCTGACCATACCATCAACGTGGGTGGACCAGGAGAGATTGTTGGTGATCATCACTCCTAGGAACTTGACGCTGTCAACTATCT